CTATACTTGTTTTAATGATCTTTAGTATAAAATTAATATAACTCTATATAGTTTTTGATTGTATTGAGATGATATTCTTCATATAACAGAAAACAAAAATCTTTTGTCAGCAAGCTGTTTTATATAATTTGTTTGCCATAGTCTTCGATCTTTACAAAATGAAACTCTGATATAGATAAATCTTACAAATATGTCTTTTTCATTTTGGCTTTAGTCAGATTTTCTAATATGTAAACTTCAATAGGAATGGTTGGTTTCTTATTTCACTTATATTTTTTAATATTGTTGATCCAGGTAAATGTGAATGTATAATTCTTTCTAATGTTTCTATAATCTGGTTGTATTCTAATAAATTCTATTGATCTTGAGAGTCTACCTGAACTGACTTGATAATGTTTTATCTTCTTACTATTATTTGCTAATATGCTTTTGCTTCTGGTCCAGTAAAGCTTTTTACTAATATTATTTATACTCATTTGCCAGTTTTATCTTCTTGGATCAGTTGGCATCTCTACTGTAAAGAATAATTTATCTTGCAGTCCCAGTCATATCTAGTCCAAGTTGTTTTCAATACTTTGAATTTATTTGCCAATATCTGTTTTACTATTTGAAACCAGCTAAAAACTGGTTCATGTTTATGGCCTTGGGGATCTTGTATTAGTTTTCAGTTTAATAAAGTATTGGATTCCTTATTTATGAGCTGGTTTATAAATATAATGTTATATTTTTTTAATAAGATCACTGCTTTGTTATAAACTTTGAAATTATTCAAAAAGGTTTTAATTATAATATATCCTTCTTTTTATTGGAATATTATATATTTTTTCAATATAAATTTGTAAAGGTAATGTCCAATTTGTTGACTATTTTGAATGTTTAAGCTAAAAAGTTTTTCTTATATGAATTGAAGGAAGTATTATCCAAAAGCATATTTGCTGACTTCCAATGTTTTATTTGTGTTTGCTTAAGACAAATGAGAGTTGATATATTAGTATGATCTATATTATTAAGATGGTTTATAAAGCTAGTGATTTGACTTTCTATTTGAACTTGTAAATATTTTTAAGTTTATAGAAGACCTTGTGATATATAGATAAATTTAATATTGTTCTTGTAATTTTGATTACTTGTTTGAGTGTTTTTCTAAGTTGGGCTAAAAGGAGATTACTTGAGTATATACTTATTGAGCTGTGCTATATTCTATACTTAATCCTTAAAATTAGAACTCTGTTAATTATATATTCTACATATCTATCTGTGATTAACTTTTTCTTTAGATTTGGTAAAACTGTTTGGATCTCTTGTTGATTATATCTTTGATCTGATTTTTATTGTCTAGTCAGATGCCTAGAAATCTTATATAACTTTTGTAGTCTAATTCTTTAATTTCTTTTTAATTAGTTTCAATGTAAACTTTATTAGGTTCTTTGGATAGACTGTTGATTATAATTAATATTGACTTGTTTCTATTAATTTGTGAATTATTTACTGTATAAAATTCTTTTGCTCTTTCTAGAATATAATTTATATTCTTTTGAGATCTAGCTATCCATATAGTATTATCCATATATGCTATTGCTGCTTGTCTAATTGAAAGTTTTCTTGAAGTCTTCAGGTCACTTGCTGGTTTGCTAAAATTTGTTGTCCATAAGCAACTTATTGTATAGCTTAATCTTTAATTTTTCTGTATTTTACAAAGAAAAGGATTATAAAAGATTTTCCAAAGCAGTGTTAATATTGTTTCTCCTTGATTTATACTATTATCTGCTATTATTTCTTTGATGAGGTCCATGTCTGTAATTACCTTAATTGTTCTTTGTGTGAAGGGATCTAACAAGAGTTTAATAATTTTTGTTCAGAACTTTAATTCTATAAAGTATCTTTTCTAATATCTCTAAATTAACTATGTTATATGCTTTTGCTTGTTTTAAAAGAGGATTCAAAGTTTCTTATTCTCCTCTTTGGCTTCTTTGCAGATATTATTTAATAGATGTATTGGTTCTGAGATACTTTTTTCTAGTAGTTTTATAAAGTTGAATTCTTTTAATATTTTGTACTTTTTGCAAATGAGTACTAAGCAGTTATTAAGGATTTTGATAAAGTATTTATGTGTTGTCTCCAAAAGAATTATAGGTTTTGTATTATTAAGTTCATCTTGCAATTCTTTTTCTTTGGAGATTGGATATAAAAGACTGTTTTTTAGATTATTGATATTATTTCAGAGCTGAAAAAAAGATTGAAAGAATTGAAAAGAGTCTTTTTTGCTTTTGGGCCTAGTTTTTTGAGCATTTTATATTTTATTTTCAATGATCCTGCTGCCTATTGTTAGGCAAGTTAAGAAGAACTTCTTTTAATTTACTTGATTGAATTTCTTTTTCCATGATATTGTACTATTTTTCTTGAATTTCAGGCTTGGATTTATATTGTTTCTTCCATTAATTGTTAAAAAGATTGAAATTGCTATTATACTTATAAAATGTCTGTTGATAATAGAGTTTTGTTTGGTTCAAGATCTCTTTCTTATCAATAATGATATATTTGTGACTGTTTTTATCTATTATTTTAATTCTATTAATTATAATCTTGTCTTTAAAGTTGTTTATTAGTATTTGAACTATTTTTTTTTGATTATCTTTAAGGTCTTAACATCTGGTCTCAATTGCTTTCTGAATTTTCTGATTGATCTGTTTTCTTTCTTTTTATATACAAATTTTTTTTAGGATTGCTCTAAGAATATATATTTGCTTGATAATAAGTATTAAGTCCTTGTTATATATATTTGTATTGAGAGTTTTTAACTCGGTGAGGGCCTGCAAGTTATCTGACAGTGTTTTTAAGACTCTAGATATCCATTTGTTAAGTTGATATATTAGAAAAGAAAGTAAAAATCCCAGTGGCTTCTTTTTTGGTTTCTTTTGGATCTTATACAAATCTTTATATATTCTAACTAAATTTTTTTCCTTGAAGTTCTATATTTTTTAATAATAAAGATTGTTAAATGCTATAGCAATCAGTATTTTTTTGAAGTTTTTCCAGAGATCTTAAATCTGTAGAACATACCTTTGGATATTTGTTTGTTAACATACTGCTACTGTTTTTTTCAGGAGTTTAGCTTTTTGGATTTTGTTTTCAATTTCAATTTTATATTGTTTCATTGCTTATCTATAGTTTTGCTAATCTCGATTATTTTCTTATATTGGTATATGACTTTGGTATAGTGAATTGTAGAAATGTGAAGAAATATATCTTTGATTATTTTGTAATTTAGAAAAGTATGGTTGCTGTTTATGATTTTCTTAAAACTATAGTTTTACAATTGAAATATATTATATACTATTTTGATTGAACATCAAATATAATCTATTCTACTTAAACTTAAATTGTTTTTCCATGTATGGGATGGTTTTGAATTTTTCTAGAATTAATGTAAGTTTACAAGATTTCAAATATTTCTCATATATTTTATATTATACAATATTAAAACTAATAATATAACTAAATATAGGGCTTCGAAAAGTACCAAACTGATATCAAAGTAATATCGAAATAATACCAATCTATAGTAAATTTAATATATGGGTTGTGATCCACTTATATAAATTTATAGTAAATTTAAATATCGAATTGATATTGAACAGGTATCGAAGTGATACCATTAGGAGTTTTAACTAAATATAATAAAAAAGCAAGATGTTGAAATATTTTTTTGTTAGAAATTATTTAATACCTTTTCTCTTATACTAATTTCTTTTCTTTTTAAAATCAAAAAAAATTCTTATTAACTAATAATTAATTTAAAAAGATTTTTATTATTAGTACAACTTTTTTTTTTTTTTTTATTCTTTTTTCTTTTATTTTTTTTTAAAAAATAATAATTTTTTTATTACTTAAAATTATAATAATTATATTGAAATAACAATTATTAATATAAATTAATAATAATTTTTTGATTTAAACTAATGTATTGTTTTATTAAAGAAAATCAATTTTTTTATTTCCTATAATCTTATCCAAAGAATTGAAAAGATTTATAAAGTCTAAAATAGCTAATACTAATAAATCAATTTCCTTATAATGAAATAGTTAATAAATAATTAGATTATATTGGCAATATAGTAATCTTGATATTAAAGATTCAAGAATTATATACAAATTTATTAAACTTATTGACAAGTATACTACAGCTTACAAAAATGATTAACTATAATATAATAATTATATTGTATTATTGTTTATAAAAGATTAATAAATATTACAGCTTATAACTTGATTAGAAATAAATAATAATAATAATAATAACATAAAAACTGTTTTTTGTTTTACTTTCAAATTTCCAATCTGTTTATTTTCTTCAAAAGATTAATATAAGATAATTATATTATATTAATATCAAGTTCATTGCTATAATAAAACCCAAAATTCTTTACTTATACAGTATATAACAACAAAGATATATAATCAAATAAGTTCAGGCAATAGTTCAAAATCAAAAATTATTATTACTTTTTATTTACTAATATCTATAAAGCTCACATATATGATTAATAAAATAATTAATTACTATTTATTTTTTCTCTTTTCTTACAAAGGTTTTAGAATATTTATTGTGCCAACTTAAATTTGATAGGTTAATGTTAGTTAAATTTTGATGTTTAATATACTGTACCTTTAGACATTTTTATATCAATAAAGGGTTTCATTTAATGCCTGTTAAATAAATAAATATAGATATCATTAAATTCCAAATGAATATACTGTAACTCATTATATATGTGTTTGTTAGATAATCTCTGATTAGTGCTATAGCATTGGGATTCAAAAATTCTACTTTATTGATTAATAAAGTATCTACGATTCTGATTTACAGTTAGAAAATCATACATATATTTTTAAAAAACTTAGTGCTTATAAAAAAATAAATATAATCGAGCAGTTAGCGGTCAACACTAAAAAATCAATATAAAAATGGATCCGTCAACAGATTTATTAGGTCTCCAAATTCATGTCCAGATCGGTACACCACCAACCACATCACTAGGTTTAATAATCTGCCCCAATAGTGCTTGTGATAACAAGTTATGCTCCTGTTGAATGTGCTGTTTCTTGTTACCCGTCGCGGGTGATGCCGTTGGTAAACGAGTAGCAGGCTTAGCGGCTTTTCCTACAATTCAATTTAAATAGTAAATTAAAAAGTGACAAGAAATGTATAACAAGATATTTGTTACCTTCATGTTTAGTATTATTCATAAGTGTTCTAATTCTCGGAGCTACATAGGTCCACGCACCCGAATTTAATGGCTCCTCTTGCGCCCACACAAGTTCGGCATTCGGATATTTGACAACGTGTTTAGATAATAAGTCATAAGGAAATGGACACAGTTGTTCAAGTCTAGAGATAGCAACATGGTCCATCTTATTTTGATCGCGAGCTTTAAGTAAGGAATAATAAACTTGACCCGAACACAAAATATGACGAGTAATTTT